ACGTTCGTTTACTTGTCCCGTTCGTACGTTGAATCATGCGTTGTTTTCCGCTCACTACCTTCAATGCTGGTCACAGTTCAGTACTTTACCAATGTTCTTAAATATATTGCAAGTTTCAAATTCACATATCCATGGAGTAGGGCAGGGGTGGGCAATCTGCGGCCCTCCAGATGTTTTGGACTACATATCCCTTGATGCTTTGCTAGTATTATGGCCCTAAGAGCATGGGAGATGTATTCCAAAACATCTGAAGGGTCGCAGATTGCCCACCCCTACACTAGGGTATATAGTCTATTACAATTTGGTCCAGTTCATCTGGGATTCCTGTTCACGAATTAACAGCACTTGATGGCCACTCACGCCTGTTTTATAATAACGCTACGTTACACACTAATTCAGTGAATAAGTCTGATATACATATATATATATAAAATATATATATATGTATAATTTCCCAACTCGTTACTCACTTTGTTCTCCTAGTATACCACGTATTCTATGTGCCCTTATCAATTTAGTAGCATACTTACTGGAGAAACCAAGAACAGCGGTGTTCCTCCAGCAATTTTGTTTCAGGTGTTGTATTCCTTACGTTTATATTTTCAGTTAAACATGTATATTAAGCCTCACGCTGCCTTTTACATTGTGCTTATTTAGGCATTGAATCGGACCTATGTTCAGGTCCTCAATACGCTTACGTTCATATAGTGACTTCTGTAGTACTATATGCTTTCCAACTTTTACAATTACTCCATTAGGCTGCTGGTAATTTATTAGTTGGGTTTACTATTTATTACTTTGGCGACCCATTAGGGGGATCACAGTACATTGAGTTCTAGATTATGCCATATGGTGATTATTATTATGATATTTATAGAGCGCCGTCAAATTCCGCAGCACTTTACAATGGGTGGACGAACAGACATGTAGTTGTAACCAGACAAGTTGGACACACAGGAACAGAGGGGTTGAGGGCCCTGCTCAATGAGCTTACATGCTAGAGGGAGTGGGGTAAAATGACACAAAATGGTAAGGTTAGTATTAGACTAGTGACAGTTGCAGAAGAGGAATCAGTCAGGAGCTATTAACAGTTTAATTGATACGCTTTTATGAAGAAGTGGGTTTTTAACGATTTATTGAAGGAGTGGAGACTGGGTGAGCATCTAACGGAGGAGGGAAGCGAGTTCCACAGGAACGGTGCAGCCCTCGAGAAATCTTGAAGGCGAGCATCAGAGGTGGGAGTACAGACAGAAGATAGACGTAAGTCTTCAGCAGATCGTAAGGGTCTAGACAGGACATACTTGTGTATAAGGGAGGATAGATAGGTGGGAGCAGCATTATGTAGAGATTTGAAAGCAAGAACCAGAATTTTAAATTGAGCTCTATATGTTATATGAAGCCAATGTAGGGACTGACAGAAGGGTGAGGGATGGGAAGTGCGGGCGGACAGGAAGATGAGCCTCGCCGCCGCATTCATTATGGACTGTAACTGCGCAAGTTGGGAGCACGTAAGACCACTGAGAAGCGGATTACAGTAGTCAAGGCGAGAAAGGACAGTGGAATGGACCAACACCTTAGTCGCATCTGGCGTTAAGTAGGGGCGGATGCGCGCAATGTTTTTGAGATGGATACTCGGTTAAACGACACAAATTTTACTGGTCTATATGTTCACCATACATATTCCACGTCAACCCTACTTAAGGCTTTTTCTGCAAAATCAGGTTTTCCTTAGATTTTTCTTTTTTTCACTTTAGGGTTGTTGGTATTGGTTTACTTTCAATACAATTTTAGCATGTTTACAATACTGCCAAAATTATCTGTACACATTTTACGTTCCACGTAAATACTTTCATCATATGTGCTCATTGACATTGTTTTAATTTCCTAATATGTCTATCTTCTCCAAAATCACTACTCTTCCGGTTCTCAACCTATCCAACTTTCTGTTAAATTTTCGATTTACAAGTTGCCCTTGCAAGGTTCATCACCTTATACGTACTTCACTTATCCGTCTCCGAGTCAGCCCAATTTATATTAGGCCAACACAGGCCGACGTATCGGGCAATTACCTGCCAACAAATATGGTCTTGTTACAGGTTCACAATTCACACACAATCTAGAGATTAATCATTATTAGAATTTTATTTATGACATAATGCGGTATGGTTTGATCTCTGGTTATATGCTACTAACCATAAGTATGGCACCTGGGTAATTCTAGTCACTTATACTAATCTTCCGTGTTCAACACTATTACCCCGGTCGACTACTTTATCTACCCCTAAATTGTTTGCTAGGTATCTGTTGTTTTATCACTAGTTTGTTTACAACGATTTTACCTTAGATCCCATATGGCACAAGTGTCCAGCAGACTCCAGTTTCTCAATGTACGTCTCCTAATTTTTATAAGGTATTTCTATTTGGACCTTTAGTGGTCACCAAGTCTCGCCATTCAATATCTACGTTACAGGTAAGTGGTGCTTAATTGTATATATGCTTATTTCGACAGGTTGAGTTTAATCGATCAGGTATCACCTTATTATGCCTAGCGGGTAAGCAATAACCCTTTACTCTTGGGACGTCAAGAGACTTGGCTCCTTATACCTGACTCACGCATGGTCCACCCCATGTACACATTCTACCATTTTAATCATTTCATGTTTCATGTTCACTTATGCTCTTTGTCTATGTTTTCTGCCTAAAGGGAATCAACTTTACTCACGTCGCCTATTACGTTCGTATAGAAGTACCTCTCTCGTTCCCTCTAATCTTCACCGGTATACTGTAATCTCGTACGTTGTTCCTCTGTTTACAGATATCAGATCTACATTTATTACTCATAGGTCACAGTCAGGCTTTTCCATTACAGTCAAATACGTGCACCATCTATTACTAAGGGTAAGAGGAGTTACATCCTTCCTTCCACCTTCCCTATTACCTACGAACGCCTAATAGTATTCTGGTTGTCCTATCTCTGCAGGGTGTACTTTCCAGGTTCTCTCTTAGAGATCTTGGTTACCAAGACAGGTATATTAACCTTAACGGTCACATGCATATGTTTCTAATCCTGGTACAATGGCAGAGAACTAACTTAAGGTTCAGGAGCTGGTACATGGAGGAAAGCCTCACAGCAGTCATACTCTCGCGACCGCAATTTCAACAATGTTCAACTTGCAACCGCCATCAACATACATCCAACAATCTCAGCACTTACATAAACTAGTCATGGATTTATGCTACTCGCACGGTCACTATCCCATCACTCATTCTATGCACGCCAAACAATTTACATAAGGACATTTCAGTTTTAGTAGGTTAAGTTTGAGCTTCCCCCCACAGGTAATAACTACATCAAAACTTAAAAATAACACATTACATCATTAATTCGTACCTTCCAGGAATATTACATCACTACGTTTCCCAATCTTATTACTGTTCTTCATTCATATCCCATTACAACAAGCTCCAAAGGCTTCACAAACAGACCAGTCTCTTTCATCCATTATATTACTCATAACCGAACATACATTCAGGAGCCTATCCAATTTGTTGGATACCAAACCAGTCGATAGTAAGATAACGCAGTTTTCAAGTAAAAATTATATTGCCTTCTACATTTTCTCAAGGCCGAGAGAATTCACGGTGGTACACCATATAAAGTCAACTCAGACCTTGTCACACACATCAACCTTTTATATTCTCCCCGTTAAGGATTTCCAAATTAACCAGATGAACCATCTAACCACAATATCGCTATTCCTGACAGGCAACATCTGGCCCATGTTAATGCTAGAGACACGCATACCCATACGAAACAGCTTCCACCTAACGCTGTTGCAGTCACTTCACGGACATCCACTCAGCCCAGTCCACATCCTTAAATCCAATAAATGGCTATCCCTATATTCAGTTCTTAGATTCTGCTTCATGAATAGCGCTCAGGGAATCGCTCAAGTTTATCTTTGTAGGCATGCTAAAAGGAGTGTTCTTCACCGATACCTTTATGGCCCTATTTATACAGGCCTACCCATATGTTGGTTCCAGCACAACACTACCAACTTTCTACCTCTCCTCTATTTCCATATACAAATTTAAGTTCCGACCACAAGTAAAAGGCCATAGGCCTGAATTTGTGGGAGGAGTTTTCCCTATGTAAACTCACCCCTCACCCCACCTCTACGTACCTATGCCATTTTTCTGTTGGAGTGACCCCACCCACCACTCCCTCTACTAACTTATCACATTATCCCTGGTGGGCCCTTTTTATACAGGCCTACCCGTACGTTGGTTTCGGCACAACACTACCAATTTTCTCCATCTCCTCTATTTCCATATATGAATAAGTTCTGACCACAAATAAATAGAATATATATATATATATATATATATATAGTGACAAACCATGGGGTTGTGGGAGGTGCTAGTTGGCTATTTATATCTTCCCTAATTACAGTCACTGCAACGTGATCAGTATATCCCGTATCCCACCCTCTACTCCCTTGTTCAGAACCCCATCCTAGGTGGGCCCTCTTTATTTTACAGGCTTACTGGTACATCTGTTTCAGAACACCACAACCGACTTACGTATACTCCTATGTAACAATATATTATACAATGCTAACTTTCTGCATGTTACGGCTTTGGTATATGAGATATATATATATTGGTTTTACACAAACACTCTAAATAATTGTGAATGTGAATATATACACACACACACACACAGTTAAACTTAGAGAAACTTGAAAATATATGTAAACGTATTGAAACCTGGCTATTTTATATTTTTATTTTCTCCTGGAGATATGATTTTTAATAGCATTAGTGGGGCTGTCCTAAAATCAAGCGCTCTCTAGATTGTCAGGTCACTGCTTGAATTCTAGTTGTATTTAAATTGGATGAAAGCAAGAAGCCAGTCACAACAGCTTTTACCTCACTTTCCCCATCTGTCTCTCCCTACCCAGATCGGCTTTATTTAAAAATGCATACAAGAAGCAGGGCTCATCATTTATTTAGATTTTATCTCAAGTGTGTAATTTAAAAAATCATATCTAAAACCTACACACACCGTCACTGATGTGTGTCTGTGTACACATAAATATTGTCTTTGCATTTCAGGCAAAATTATGCAAAGAATTCAGGCGCTCTTTAGACAAACATGTAAACACATGCACAGGATGCAACATTCCTATTTTTAAATGTACAGAGTTTAATTTTTAATTAATGCAAAACTAAAAAAAATTAAACCTGCAGAATTTAAAATATTGTTCAACATTACAATTATCTTTTATCCCATTGCAAGAATGTATAATGGACGCATAACATTGGGCAGTAAACTACACCTTTACATTAGGATGTCTGATAAAATCTGAATGCCACTCATTTTACCTTTCCATAAAAAGAAAGCACATACACGCCTCTTGCTGGACTGCATAACCTACAATGGGAATTGAAAAGGAAATGCCAATCGTTTGGCCACTTAAATTCTCCACCTCTGGCATTTTGCCCTAACATCTGCAACATTTTGGTCCATTCTTGGTTTGATGAATGGCCGTGAGTGAAAGCTAGCCACAGACTTTCTGCTGCATAACTAGCACAAACTTTTTTTCCAGTCATAGTACAAATTACTCTAATAAATACATTAAGATACAAAATTACAAAAGAGATGTCTCAAAACCTTTAAGCGTATACAAATCAGTACCAAGCCAAAGAGACCATAGATATTAACTATAGAACACAATTTGTGTTCATTCTGGCACTCAGTGAGTTAATACACGGGTAGAGAAACAGCTAAAGGCCTCAGTTTATTAATTTTCAAAAAGCTTTTCAAAGTATTTAATGCTTTTGGGTAAACTTTTGAAATTATTTAATATTTAGAAAAAAATACATTTTGAGTTTATCCAAAAATAATATCAAGGCCTTAGTCACATTCACCAGTTTAATCCTTTACAAAGCTTTGTTTCTTTGTGGTAGCCCAGTGCTACACAAATCATACCTTTTTTTGGGTTTCACCAACTACAGCCAGAGCCAATGTTCCTAACCCTCTCCTCATATGATTAGTTCAGGGGTAGGTAACCTCCAGATGTTGTTGGATCTCCTCAGATGCTTTGCCCATATTATGGGAGATGTAGCCCACAACATTAGCTGTGCTAAATGTTGCCTACCCCTGGATTAGAAGTATGTTACGTCTAGTGACATGCTCAGCTGATTTAATTGATCAAACATCAAGCAAAGAGATGTAGCTACCACTTAGTCAAGGTAGAGGTTTATTTATGGATTTCCAAAAAACTGCTCCCTGTCTGGAGGTATTGAGGACAGAAATTTGTAAAGCTTTATAAAAATACCTAAACAAAAGTTGCCAAAGTGTTTCAGCATGGACTGGCAGGGAAGGCTTAGTTATTGTGAACTACATGCCAACACTGGCTGTACCTGATGGGAGTTGAATGTATTCAAAATTCCTTAAAATATTATAATAGCGTTTTCCAAGTAATTGCAGAGCCCTGTCCCTGAGAATAATTCATTTTATAAACCACTTTATGGGGGCGGGGTGTAGAAAAACAGGCATAGCTATTACATTAAGCCGTCAGAAGTTTTTTAGTTTTTTTTTTAGTTTTCTTAAACCTAGATTTCTAAGGCAGTTCCATAGTCAAACATTTGGTGATACTTGAAGTCAGGGTTGAAAATTTAGGCAGGGGAAAAGAGAAAAATAAGTAATTTGTCTGTAGTGCGATACAGCTGTGTGGGCTCTTTGGATATTTGCATGATTTACTTTAGCAAATGCTTAACTTTGCTTCTATCATTGCTATTTGGAATTAAATTAAACATCTCTCCTTTTGAATGTACCTTCTATTGACACCAAACTACCAATTTAGATTGTGAATGCTCGTCAGATGGTAAAAACTAGTTGTTTTTTTTTATTCACCTGGCCCGCAAACTGGTGAAAGGAAGAGGAAAAAACAAAACAGAAAACTAATGGGAAGTGCTCCTTGTTTTGAACTTGTAATTACTGCAGCCGAACTAACCTTTAGCAATTTGCGATAATTTACATTATAACAACAATTCTGAATCAGAAAACAGAAGTTTACAAAAAAGTAAAACTTTAGACCAGAAAGGGTGGACAAGAAAGTTGGGTAAATTCACAGACTGACACATGAGGAGCAGGGGCAGATTGGTTCTTTAACAGCAAAATGTCTTGTGAGGATGCAGGCACATAGTAAAGAGTATGGTTCACGTGTAACTGTTATTTGCAAAATATTAGATAACATTAAAAGAACTCTGAGGTAAGGCAGATCTATAAAAATAATTACATCTTCAGTAGCAGCTTGTAAAAAAAAAAAAGCCCAGTGTTTAAAATAAACTGAAGATAAATAGTAGTAGGGCAGGCAGCGGAGCAGTATTTCAAGCCTGTAGTGTCATTTGTAGATAATACTCCTCACTCCGAAGTAGTCAGACTGTAAACCCAGCCTGTGTCTGCTGCCATGGGGAAAGAGAATCAGTAGAAATGCTTGCGACTTCTCTCCTGCCACTTATTGTACACAATTAGCAAGATGACCGCAGCAAAGACCAGGCCCAGTATGGAGAAGAAGACAATGATGAAGAGAGCAAAACCACTCATAGGCTCGGACGACTGATCAACTAACGAAGAAAAGAAAAGAAAAAGAAAATAAACTACAGTAAACCAAATTCTGAAATACAGACGTGTGACAAAGTGTGATTACCTCCAGGTAGCTTCATGTTGTCTACACTGGGTATAAATACTTCTTTATCTGCAGCTTCTTCATCCGGAGAACGTGTCACACTTAGTTGGTACAGTTTGAGAGAGATAAGATCATGGTTATCTGAAAGCAGATCAAAGAGGCACATTATAGCATTTTAGATACTACATGTGCAGGACTATTATTAATATGTTTTTGCCCCTTGTACAGCACTGCAAAAAGTTATTTCTACCATTTTTTTTTTTAAAGAATGTCATGGGTGTTTTTAGATTATATACTGAGATCAAAGTTAAAGGGTTACTCCAAGCATCATAACCACTACAGCCTGATTTTGTTGCGCACAGTGTTAGCCAGCCACTCTGGAGTTGATTTAATATATAAAAAACAAAAAAAACTAAAAAAACACACAGACCACAACAACAACAACAACTGTATGTGCAGAGTTTCAAAGTGAAATACAGAAGTGATCATGTTGCTTGGAGTAACCCTTTAAATCATTACATGCAAGATATTTTTGCAGGGAAATTTCCACTTTGAAACAAACACTTATTCCCATTTCATTGCAAAACAATCCCATAGTTTAAATCTGTTTATTAAAAACTAATGTGGTAGTTCTTTTGCTTCTAACCTCTTAAATGGCAACAACAGTCTATGCTAACTTAAAGGGACACTATAGTCTCAAAACAACTACAGCTTATAGTATTTGTTCTGGTGAGTAGAATCATTACCATCAGGCTTTTTGCTGTAAACACTATCTTTTCAGAGAACATGCAGTGTTTACATTACTGCCTAGTGATCACTCCACTGCTCACTCCTCAGATGGCTTCTAGAGGTGCTTCCTAGGTCAGTGCTGCCTAGTGTACAGCAACCATTCAGTGTCTCCACCCTGTGCATGAAGACCCTGAACTTTCCTCATCAAGATGCATTAATTCAATGCATCTCTATGAGGAGATACTGATTGGACAGGGCTGTGTTTGGCTTGTGCTTGCACTGTCCCTAATCTGCCTCCTTGATAGTCTCAGCCAATCCAATACTTTCCTATGAGAAAGCACTGTGATTAGCTCAGATTAACATTTCTGAGGTCAGCCAAGCAGGCAGATGAGGGCCAGCAGCAGCAGGATGAAATAGAAGTAAGATCTTGAGGGGGGCGGCAGGGGGGAGTGGAAAGTTGTGCTTATTTGAAGGAACACTCCAAACAACATAACCACTACAGTGTGCTGTACTGGTTACGGTGCCAGGAGGGCCCATTAGACCCAGAGTAAAAAGGTCCATCCATAGAAGGTACTAAGATGGTTTGACTACTTACACTGGGGGCATAAAGGTACTCCTGGCACCATAACGCTACAGTGTGCTGTAGTGGTTGCGGTGCTAGAAGTGCTCCTTAACAGCAGCAGCATCAAAAAAAGTATACTTAAGACAAATAATAATTAAAACAGGATAACTCTGAATGACGCTATTTTGCAGTAAAATCCTAAGAGAATTAGTGGATGTGCACATAGGCATGACATCACACATGCGTGATAATTTCTAACACGTAGCTAGAGAGAAAGATTGTGTTTGCACCCTAGAATCAGTTTTTTCCTCCACCTGTAACTAATGATTGTTTAGGTGATTAACTGCTGGGCAGGAATAAAAACAAAACAAAAAAAAACGCAATAGGAATTCTGATAGGAAATAGGCATTTTAATAGGTTCACACAGTGAAACAATACACAATATTCACCAGTTTCCATGCAACTGCCAAATGACAGAAGAATGAAGTTAATTTCCCCAGTTAAAGATTGAGTTAATAAATTAAAGGCTTGAGAAACAAAACTGGTTATTGTTCTCGAAGGCGTGGACACTAGGATTTTTGAATCAGTTCGCGCAGCACATGAAAGAATAATGGGTATGCCCCTCATGTTCTTTTCTTTTCTCCTCTTCCACTGCAGTTTACGTTTCTATGGCATAGCTGTAGAAGAGGACTTTGAGTCCGGAAAGAGAAAGACCCACCAGGGCACTGTGTACCAAGCTAGAAAAGATAATTGCGTTTGGGATAAGGGATCTCCTAAAGCCCCCTTATGTCTGTATACACAACTCATTGGTGAGTAGACTGTGTCAAGCCTACCAGATACCGCATAGCTTGAAAAAGGAGTCCCCGCAACAGCTTGCTTAAGATGATGGGAACCCTATAAAAGTAGTACGTTGGTATACGACAATCACTGGGCATCAGAGATTACCCTTCAAAGGTGCGAATAGGTGGGTTGATACTCGTTGTCCGCTTCAGAGAGGTACTTCCTGAGGGCCGGTGCTAAACACTCACCATACAAGTTGAAGTCTGCGTATCTCACATTATACATCAAGATTGTTATTGATATTGTTATCTGCACCTTCCTAAACGTATCTTTCATGATTAGAGACCTGCGTGTCTCACCTCCATTTTATAGTCTTCTCCCATGGCTTATTTTTATCTCTATGCCGTGGAACATTTATACATACATTTTTAATACAAATATATTTACAAAAAAAATATAAAGGGAATGCTACCTGACAGGTCTCCTGTGACCGCAGAGGCACCAAAGTAATATCCACGAGGCAGGCGCACACCAGGAACATCTAGGCAGTCCTTCCATTCATGCTTTCCATCTATGTCTATCATGATCTAGAAGAGCCAGCAATGAGAAAAACACAGCTTGGAAAGTAGGTAACAGACAAACAGGAGGGAAACGAGTGTAGTGTACTGAGCAAATTCTCCGGGCCACACCATCCAGAGCAGACTTTTTATTCTACAGAATTAAGAACATTACACTGGCAAATTTTTTTCAGCAGGTCCGAGATGATCAAGCTTGGGTTTCTATGAGGGTTAATATTTGAAACATTTAAAGCGGCACTGTCATGGCGAACTTACCTTTCCCCAAATCGCTTCCTCTTCTCTCCCTCTCTCAGGATCTGTTCTTCATATCTGCTCTAGTTTTGTTTTTTAAACATAAGACAAAGTAGGGACTTTTTTGTCTTATGTATTTTTCGTACGCTTGAGCAGCTTTGACACAGGCGAGGAGCAAAGTCTGCTCCATTTCCTGTGGTCAAAGCAATTTTCCCACAATTTTCACTTTCCTCCTGCTGCTTCATTCGGCGTTCCAACGCCAGCAAAACTACCGAATTTTGTCCTAACAGAATGAGAACAGTTTGTCACTTCATGTTTTTTTTGTTCTGATCGGAATTTCATTCCTACAGTATTAGGGAGCTATCTACTAAAATGCTAAATTTACGAATACTAAGTAAAGTTTATTTTGTATTATTAATCTGCCCAATGTCTACTAAACAGTGAGAAACCAGTGACTGCTCACTGTTGTAAACCCCCTCTCCCCCCCCCACTACTTTAATAAAGTGTTCCTTAGTGAAGCACCTATAAAAATAATTAAGGGGTGGGAAACAGCAGGAGGAAGGTGAGAATTGTGGGGAAATGGCGTTGACTACAGGAAATGGAGCAGACTTTGCTCCTCCCCTGGGTCAAAGATGGTCAAGCGTAGGAAAAATACAGAATACAAAAAAGTCCCTACTTTGTCTTTATGTTTTTAAAAAAAACTAGAGCAGATAGGAAGAAATGAACAGATCCTGAGAGAGGAGGAGAAGAGGAAGCGATTGAGGAAGGCAAGTTTGGCATGACAGTGCCGCTTTAATTACTGCAATGAGCAAGTTACGACAGCATGTATGCAACAGCTATGAAAGGATTGTTGGTTTGAAAATCCTCATACTGATCTCCTTTAGAAGATTCCAAGAATTGTTTTGTTTTTTTAACAGAGTGAAGAAGGTATGTGGACAGAAAGGTTAATTACACTAGGTATTGTGGTAATATGGTAAAAAAAAGTACCCAGGACATACTTGAAAACGAGAGAAATCTCAATGTATCTTTACTTATAAAATGTTTTACCAGGAAATAAACAAGTGACAAATATTAGAAGAATAAAGTAAATAAATCAACATAAGTAATTATTTAAAATACATTAAACCCATTACCCATCTTAAAAGAAACACTATAGTGCCAGGAATACAAACATGTATTCATGACACTATAGTTCTGATTCCCAAGAGCCAGAGCTCCAAGATTACAGAATGTGATGCAAATAGGAAACCGCAAAAAGCGGATAACAGAGGTCTAAATAAAGAACCACATACAGTGCCGATTAGGGAAAGAGTCCTTATTAATTTTAGCTATTAGTGAAGTCTCACCGTAAGTCGACGTTTCACATAGCGGATTACGAAGAAGGTGTCATGATCTAGGTTCCTCACCATGGCTGTACAACCTCCAAGCTCAGTGGGACGTCCATCCCGGCTGTGATCATATGTCAGAGACCCATTGCTGACCATAGCAGATATATAGGGGAATACACGCTATAAGAAAAAAGTATAGTATGATGATGAGGGTGCTCTTTACATTGCAGTGTCATATTCTAGTCTTGTAGGCCACCTTCACATCCCCCCATACTCTTTGGTTTCTGGACAAAGTCCTCCCCCCCCCCACCTTGGATAATTAAATTGAGCTGTGGAGGAGGCACTTAATGTATGCCATATGTGAAAAATGCAAGAACAAACATGTATCCTCACTGGTTATTGTCGGTAAAAAAACACACACTACCGTAGATCACCAAATTTGTTCTTAAAATGTATTCCAGCAAAATGGTATTTAGTCACACACAGTATAAAATACTGAATTGCAACGGGGGAAGAAAAGCCAGCAGTATATTATACCCAGGAATCCTATTAACTACTGGAATGCAATTAATTTCTTTCATATATGCTTGGCTTAACAGGTACACGTTAAGATAAGCCATTTCTAAATGTGCAAGTTCCTACACACAAACAATGGATTAGAAAACACCAACACCAAAAGAAACAAAAAAGTCTACAATTATTTCTAGATAAAAGTTTTTAAGATGCATGCTCAGAATACAGCCTCTCCTTATTTTGGTCCTTTGGGTAACAAGGACATACCCTCTCCCAGCCACTCAATATAAATAGATAGACATTGCAATACCTGCATCCCTGGAGAGTATCTTTTCTTTTGAGACTGCCATCCAGAAGCACAGGAGAGAGAACATATAGCAATATACAAACATGCCACTTAGTTACACACTCAAAAAAAGGAGCAGAAATGGATTAACTATTACATATCCACATAAACATAAGCAGGTGGCCGGCAATATTTAGCATAACGGATTTTGATGAATGTGTCTAGCTTACAGAGTGAGCAGAAATCAGAAAGTGTTTGCTGCTGGTGGAAGTGATACAATCAGATTATGATGCGGATGTTGGGCTTTTTGTTTTTTTCTTTAATAAATCGTAAATACAAATAACTGCACTGGGAGGTTAATAAAATGATTTTCTAACGGGCATTGTTTTTGTTGCAGACTATATAAATTAACACAAACATACAAATGAAGAATGGACTTTGCAGGATGAAGGACAAGGCTGAGTATACTCACCTCATGCTGCTTCTCCTCATTTGGGTAGGTGTCTACAAAAACACCTAACCCAACAAAGTTATCTTTACTCCCAAATACAGGACCTGCAACAAGAAAGAGTGGTAAATTATGGTTCTGAAAGCCACATCTGAAGAAGATCTACTGTCCACTAATCCATACCAGACTGCATCTTGTCCTTGGTGTACCAGATAGCAAAACCATCTCCATTGAGATTCTTCTTGCCCTGGCCATGGATTTTGAAATGAACTTGCAACTCCCAGTCTCTCAGATAACAAGGCTGGTGGAACAGAAAAGTTCACAGATCATATACCAAAAGCCTAATTAATATTTTCCAACGTAATTTTCTGCACATTGAATAACAAGTGACTTATAACAAAACTGCCACACACACGTGTGCAAACTATTACAAAACCATGTTTGTTTTTAACTTTCCTAAAATGTCTACATGTAAAACAATAATCCTCGCATTTATTAGAGTGTAAATAGATCCCTCTGTCTCCTTGCTGTTGGTAACTGCAGCCCCTTCATTGCCAGACATCTGAAAAGGCTGCTATAATTCCTCCTGTGCGTGTCCAAATATTTGTACGTTGGGTTTAGTGTCAGCTGTTGCTCTCTACCTACCACCAGCAGTCCGTCAAACATTTCTGTATACTGCAATGGCCAAAAACAAAAAAAACGTGGCAGAGGTGTTGGAGCTAGGGGTCCACTTCCCACTTTGGCGATAAAAAAAAATATAGGAAAAGATTTTAATTCCTGAAGGTATTACAATACAGACCACACAAACAAATGCACTAGCAAGAAACACACTCTCAGACACTAACTACCAAACACTTACTCTCCTACAAACAAACTGCCAAACACAGACTCTCCCAGACACACACATACATACACCAAGAACTTTGTCCTGTCGTCTGGGATTTGTCAGTCTGTTCATCCGAGGCAGCTGGGCGGCTGACTAAGGGTGTTTGGAGGTGGCCGGCCTCATAGCACAGTCATCGGCAAGCTGGCAATTATAATGGCTGATATACTCAGCCATCAATTAAACACTACATGAAGTGCCAAATTTAAATGCCCCAGGGGAACCTGGAGAATGCACGCAGGAAGGCGGCCAAGGGGAAATGGAGCCGGTCAGTTAGAGAGGGAGCTGTCATCATCCTGCTCTGCTTCCTTGTGCACCCTGCAGTAATGTTGGGAGCCGCAATATGACATAATTCCGGCCCTGGCATCACTGAACAGTGGCCGAGGGAGCAGAGAAAGGAGCTTGAAGATGATCAGAGCAGCACCACTGGGCCCCAGGGAAAGGATCCACTTCCAGCTCTCCCAAAAGGTAGGGATGCTGGGTGAACTCAAAATAAAAATTATCTGTGAGTGTGTCAGTATTAGTGTGTGTCTGTGAATTTGTTTGTTTAGGCAGCTGTCCTTGCCTCCATGGCTGAGATCATCAATCTTTATGATCTCAGGAAAGCATTGGGAGGCTATTGCACATGTGTTCATCAGCATCCACTCAGAGATGCATTGAATCAATGCATCTTTATGGGTAACCTTCACAGCCTCCATGAGTGAGGAGACACAGAATGTAGGTGTTGCACACAGTGCAACACTGGACTATAAATCACCTCTAGTGGCCGTCTGAGTGACAGTCACTAGAGGTGTTACTAGGCAGCAATGTAAACACCGACTTATCTCTGAAAAGGCAGAGTTTACATTAAAAAGCCTGTAATGACAGGAAATAAACACCAGAACCACTACATTTAACTGTAGTGGTTCTGGTGACCCTTTTAAGAATTGTATTTTTTGGTTGTTGAAAATAAAGCGGTTAGTTAAAAAAAAAAAAGAAAAACACGCTCCTAACTTTCAGCTGCCTCTAGATTTCAAGAAAATTTCTCAAACCTTGGCTTAAAGGGATACTACAGTGCTAGGAATACAAAGCCAGAGTTGTGTTGTGGGGGATGTGGGCTGTAATTGGGAGTAGAGGGGCTATAATGGGGGTAGGGACTTTAGCAGAGAGTTAGGACATTCAATGTCAACGAAAGTCATCTAACAAGCAGGAAGTGCCTCTAGTGGCTGACAGCCACTAAAGGCAGTCTTAACCCTGCAATGTACTCATTGAAAAAAATACTAAGAAATGTAGGAAAAGTGGGAAGAAGAGTAAATGGGTAGAAACCCCAAAAGAGATGAAGGACCATGTAAAGGTAGAGTTGAGGTGCCCTTCCAACAAGGTAGATTATTAAAGAAAAGGACTGAGACAGATGTGACAGAGACCAGAGTATAGGAAGGGGAGTTAGATTTGGACTTTGGGAGCAAGCAGTGTATTTGGCAAGTGACATAATTTAACAGCGCCCTCCCCAAGGCTCACCAGTGTATAATGCACACTGCTAACAATATGCCAGCCTGAGGGTACAAAATGGACAAATGTGTTTGGTGTAAAAAACTTGATTATTTTTCTTGTCTGATATTTCCACTAGTTTCCAAAAGGTAGACGAAATAGCATACTCAGGGGTTTAATCACTACTTGTTGATAACTTCGAAATTGCAAATCATTATGTTATAGAGTTGGGTAATGTTTCCAGTTTAGCTACTTTGCCCAAAAATACTGCTGTCTTGTCATTTCTACACAATTGCCTTACCACGCGGTTCCAAACAGCCCCCTGCTTGCTCTGTTGGTCCGGGGTCAGTCGTACATACTGCGGGGTTACAAGGACATTCCCCGTCAAATCCCACAGGGATGAGGAAGAAGAGCCCACTCCTGAAAAGTATTTATGTAAACGTATTGCTTCTATATTTCAACATAGATACAAAAATAAATTTAAAAAAACCCTTTCTACATCCCATTAGCTCCTAGAAAGTGTCAGTTGAACTGCCTTAAAACAGCACTGTCATGCCGAACTTACCTTTCTTTAATCAATTCCTCTTTTCTCCCTCCTTTAGGATCTATTCTTCATTTTTTCCTGTCTGCTCAGCCTTCTTTAAAACATAAGACAAAGTAGGGACTATTTATCTTATGGAGGTTTCCTACATCTGACCATCTCTGACGAGTGGAGGAGCAAAGTGTGCTTAATTTCCGGTGGTCAGAGCAATTTCCCCACAATTCTTACCTTTCCTCCGTGTTCCTGCAAAGGCTCCTTTCACTTTTCCTGAACGTCCTGTGATTTAGACAGAACGCCGGCGAAACTACAGAATTGCGTCCTAACAGAATGAGAACAGTTTCTCCATTCGTGTTAGGACGCAATTCGGGACTTTGTTCGCATCGGAATTTCATTCGAATGAATGAAACACTGACCCTATTCGTGCGGCGGCTTAGTAGATAACTCCCTAATTCCCACGATTTCAAGGAGCTATCTACCAAAAGGCTGAAAGACCTAAATTGGTCTTTCAGACAAATTTACTAATATCAAGTAAAGATTACTTAGTATTAGTAAATTCTGCCCCTACTAGGTATACCGTGAGCAGGGGCATGTCTACTAAACAGTGAGCAACCAGTGGCAGCTCACTGTTTAGTAGACATGCCCCTGCTCACGGTATACCTAGTAGGGGCAGTGGGGGGGAGGGGTCTATTGTCCTCCTCTCCCTAATACTGTGGGAATTAGGGAGTTATCTACTAAGCGGCTGATGCAAGATGCAGCCACGGCATGAATAGGATCCGAGTTTCATTAATTTAAATGAAATTCCAATTCAAACAAAGTCCCGAATTGCGTCCTAAAATGAATGGAGAAACTGTTCTCATTCTGTTAGGACGTAATTCGGTAGTTTCGCCGGCATTCTGTCTACATGACAGGACGTTCGGGAAAAGTGAAAAAGGAAGCTTCGCGGCAGCAAGGAGGAAAGGTAAGAATTGTGGGAAAATTGCTCTGACCACCGGAAATGAAGCACACTTTGCTCCTCTGCTGGTCAGAGATGGTCAGGCGTAACAAAGCTCCATAAGGCAAATAGTCCCTACTTTGTCTTATGTTTTAAAGACAACTAGAGCAGACAGGAAGAAATGAAGAACAGATCCTGAGAGAGGGCGAGAAGAGGAATAGATTAAAGAAAGGTAAGTTCGGCATGACAGTGCAGCTTTAAAGAAATGCTATCTTATCAGGAATACAAACATATATTCATGACACTACAGTCCTGAAGTGACTGTTTAGGTTACCAAACCCCCTACGATCTCCGTAAAATGGTGGTTTTACTCATCTTTTCTCCCATAATGCGTCCGTCTCGCCACAGCTGGTCCCGCCTCCGTGGCTGAAATCAATCTTGATATTCTCAGCCAATACAATGCTTTCTCTTAGGTAAGTGAACCAATGCATCTTTATGGGGAATGTTTTAAGGAAAAATTAGCCGAACTGGTAGTATAGCGGACTTGGAGACTTTATCCAGTTTGGCTCCTAAATACATTTTAAATTTTACTTTGAATTCCCAACAATTCTCACTTTAGCGAATAACCCTGATAGCGGGGTGTTTATTCACCATACATTAAATGAAAATTAAATTGAAAAATTCTGACAAAAATTTTTTTGTCAAACTATGACAAGCTAAAATGTACAATTATTCCAAATCTGCACATTTTGTAATTTACTTTTCAATTCAATACATTTCAGTCAGGTTTGTTCACCAATGTGAAAATTCAAAGTGAATTTCAAATTTGAGGTAAAAATAGCCGAACTTGAAACATTCTCTAAGTCATCTTTGCTTCCAATTCGTTTGGAATTCACACTTAAATGAAAGATTTTCTGGTAGGGTTATTCATTAAAGACTTCACCCTATTTCTTCCCCTTATTTTTATATATCCTTTGCCAACGTTTATATTTTCTGGTATTATCACGCGAGACACATTATGAACCATATTTATGAAAGCAGAAAGAGGCGTCAATATACATTAAATTATTTGGCTGTAAAGGCACCTGTTTCTTCATTGATTAATATGGCCCATCGTGGTATAGCGCAGGACCTGATCTGACTCCTCACCCAGTCCTTGCCATGACTCCACTCACTCCCGTTGCCCTACTCACCCTGATAGGGTTTGGTTAGAGAGTGCTCTCTCTTCAAATACTCTTCTGTCTGATCGGCACAGCTGGTTTGTAGGAGCAGGGAAGCAAGAAACAGAAAAGTCCACGGAACCTTCCACCTTCCCCTAGCCCACAGCCTCCGTCTTACTATATCCGCCGCCATCTTGCTACTCTCTCCTCTGGCACGACGCCAGCCAATCACAACCTATACTCGTTGATAACGTTCATTGGGTAGTCTTGGCACGCTCTAATCTCTCAGAGGATTACAAGGAGCCAATGAGTTATCAGGAAGTGAGCCATCTCCGAACAGCCGCACGGTGATTGGCTAGAACGGTCTTACAGTTTGGGTATCTTGACAACCAGTGGATTGAGTGTGACCTCTCTTCACTGTGTGATGTACCCGGCGGGAGTGCTAACCTTTAGAAATACAGTTACTTACACTATGTTAAACATTTACAGACAACAATACTCTGTTACTGAGATAGTTCAGTTAAAAAACAAACTTTAACATTTAGGAGGAGGTTTAGCAATGCGAATCCATGGTGGCTGTTCCTTTCCCCCAGAATAGCACCTTATATTGTCCCAATACAATCTCCTACCCAGTATCTAATTACATCACCTATTCAGTGAATAGAAAAATACATTGCAGTTGATTCTGTGAAAACATGTCAGAAATGGATATAACAATTAGGCTTGTCTTGATTTTAAATACATGGTTGCCGCCTGCAAGGAGATATTAGGCAACCTTCTAGGACCTTGCAGGTGAGCCACAGCTCCCTTGCTGTAGTTAGAAGGAAAGTCTATGTTCTCTCAAATTTTGTATCTGGCCCATGGAGAGGTATGGGATGAGAAAATCAGGTGTCACACAGAGTGACTGTGTGACTTGGTAGGACTATTGTTCTGTGATTTTTGTAAACTAAAAACAGATGTGAAAAACTAGTGCAATAACAACTGAGTTAAAAAAAAAGAAGCAATTTAATTTGCCAATGTTTTATATCCTATGAGGATTATTCACCAATAGTGATGTACCGAACGGTTCACCGGCGAACGGTTCCTGGCGAACATAGCATGTTCGCGTTCGCCACGGCGTGCGAACATATGCGCGGTTCGACCCGCCCCCTATTCGTCATCATTGAGTAAACTTTGACCCTGTACCTCACAGTCAGCAGACACATTCCAGCCAATTAGCAGCACAGCCTCCCTAGCAGACCCTCCCACCTACTGGACAGCATCCATTTTAGATTCATTCTCAAGCTGCATGCTTAGTAAGAGGAGGGAAAGTGTAGCTGCTGTTCATAAGATAGGGAAAAGCATAGCTAGGTTAGGGATAAGGGTATGCTTTTTTTGGATTTTTTTTTTCTATCTAATGTAAATGCACTTAGTTGTCTGCCACTGCTGCCAGCTTCTGTGTCAGGCTCACAGTTGCCCATTTCCCCAGTCAGTGCCATATTACATCTAGTGTCACAATGGCTTGGATTTAAAACAAAACTTTTTTCACTGTTTATGGAATTGAATAGCAGTCTGATTGTCTGCCACTGCTGCCAGCTTCTGTCAATCAGGCTCACAGTGCATACTGTGCCCATTTTCCCCAGTCAGTGCCACCAAATACATCTGGTGTCACAATAGCTTGGATTTAAAAGTAAACTTTTTTCACTGTATAGATTGAATAGCAGTCCAGTTGTCTGCCACTGCTGCCAGCTTCTGTGTCAGGCTCACGGTGCATACTGTGCCCATTAAGCAGTCGGTGCCTGGTACAGTTGTCACAATGAAAGCTTGGATTTAAAACAAAACTTTTTTACTGTTATAAGGTGGACTAGCGGTGGTGTCCTTAAGCGGGTTGTGTTACGCTAACAGTGGATACGCTGACAAGTGCCACCAGGCCCGGACTGGCCATCGGGCACACCGGGCAAATGCCCGGTGGGCCGCGGTGGCCGTGGGGCCGAGGCCGGCAGGGGAGGTCCCAGGATCTCCCCTGCCGGTCTATGCAGGGCCGGCACTATCCGTCTTGCAGCTCCGCCGGGTTTCTCTCGCCATGGCAACGCCCCGATCTCGCGAGAGAGTTCACTCACCACTGGACCACCAGGGATGGTGTGCGAGTGCCGGTGCCCCCCCTCCCAGCTACCACGTGCATGTCCCCCCCTCCCAGGCTAAAGGTAAGAAGGGAGGGGGGGGGGTTTAGTTTTTTTTTTGCTTAGTTATTTTTTTTTTGCTTAGTTTTTTTTTTTTATTTCCCCCCTTGGTTTTTTTTTTGTTTTTTTTTAATATATTTACCCCCACTTAATTTTTTATTTGTTTATTTACCCCCCAACACACAACATTTATACACAGCACTATCACACTCAGCATTCTCAGCACTCACACAACACTCTCACACACATCACACCCAGCACTCTCACACCCAGCACTCTCACACACATCACACGCAGCACTCTCACACACATCATAGCACTCTCACACACATCACACACAGCACTATCACACCCAGCACTCACAACACACAACACTCTCACACACAGCACTCTCACACACAGCACTCTCACACACAGCGCAGCACTCTCACACATCATAGCACTCTCACACACATCACACGCAGCACTCTCACACACATCATAGCACTCTCACACACAGCACTCTCACACACATCATACACAGCAATCTCACACATCGCAGCACTCTCACACACATCATAGCACTCTCACACACATCATAGCACTCTCACACACATCATAGCACTCTCACACACATCATACACAGCAATCTCACACACAGCACTCTCACACACATCATACACAGCAATCTCACACATCGCAGCACTCTCACACACATCATACACAGCAATCTCACACATCGCAGCACTCTCACACACATCATACACAGCAATCTCACACATCGCAGCACTCTCACACACATCATAGCACTTTCACACTCAGCACTCTCACACACATCACACAACACTCTCACACACAGCACTCAGCACTCAGGCACATCACTCTCACACACATCACACTCAGCACTCACACACATCATACACAGCACTATCACACTCAACACTCATACACAGCACTATCACAATCAGCACTCACACACATAACACACAACACTCACACACAGCACTCTCACACATCACTCTCACACACATCACACATCATACACAGCACTATCACACTCAGCACTCACACACACTAAAACAGACCTTATTACACAATACCACACCATGACCAGCTCACTCTGCACAAACGTAATACCACAAACAGGCTCCAAACACATGCACAATACTCTTTCCTGGCCCTTTTGTCTCCTGGTATCCATTTATAGAGACACCAGAGACAAGTTGCAAGGAAACACAGTGCAAGCATGTTATTAAATTTGCTTGCACTGTGCAGAACAAATACAGGGCTTTTTTTCTCATGCTAGAGTTCTTCAGCAGAGCTCTGTGCATGGTCTGCCCTGGAAGAGCATTGAACCAACATGCTCACTTTGAGAGGGGGCGTGTTTGTCATGAGTGATGACAAAACACACCCTCTCTGCCCGCCCCCTTCTTAGTGGGCCGCTGTGATAAAAAAATGCCCGGGCCGAATTTTTTTCCCAGTCCGGCCCTG